ATTAAAAATTTAGAAAGCTTTCTTTGAATTTTTCTCTCTGTCTGTCTGTTTTGAATCTGTTTTTCCGTTAATCAGCTGTCGCCCCCATATGAACGACAACTCTCAGAAGTTGAGAAACTTGTGCGAGCTAAGGACTAACGAGGTCTTACCTTTTAACGTGTTTCACACGTTTCAATGTATAGATTATGAATCTCATAAAATGGACTCCATACGATACTTGCATATTCGATCTTCGAACGTACGTAGGTATAATACAACAGCTTCATAGTTTTGTAATTTCAAAAGTTTCTGCAAATTCTAACGATGAAACCATAAGCCCTCAAGGACTCGGAAACTTTTCGTAAATATGTCTACCAAATGTTAATTTTTGGTCAAATATTACCCCTAGGTCTCTGATATCCTTGCATCTCAGCAGATCTGAACCTGCTGAGATGCAATGTATAAACCTCCTTTTTTCTACTATAGTTTATAACTTCACATTTCTCTGCATCGAGTTTCAACCTATTGCTGCTGCACGAAGCATCAAGAAGTTCTAATTGAGATTGAAGATTTACAGATTCACCTACGTCCTTAATTACAGAAAATAATTTTAGATCACCTGAAAAAATATAATCACTCACAAGCTAAACTTTCAGTAAATCATTAATGAATGATACAAACAAAGGAGGACGTGGGTTGGTGCCCTGAGGCACACCGAAAGAAGCTAGATATGTTCTGGATTTATAACCGCTATTCTTTGGTTTGTCACATTAAGTTTCGGTCTAAACCACTAGTTATAATATTTTTTACTAACCCAAAACTTCAGGTTTTCAACTTCGAAACCGACGATATTCAATGCAATCTTTGAATCTATTTTCCCGCTTGGGGGTGGAAATTCCTGATTCCCTTTCTTGATGGTTATTTACGCTATACAAAGAACCTACCTGCATATTTCAAGATTCTAGATTCAGTAGCTTCGACTGTACGCTAATAGAAGAGTGTCAGTCAATCAATAGGTACCCACTTATACAATACTAGCTATTTCCCGCGTTACGCATTTATAATATTAGTAGGAGTAGGATTAGAAGGATTACTAATGTATTTCATTATAATCATTTCTGTTTTTTTGCTGGTGCTATTCAATATTGTATAAGTGGGTACCTATCGATTGACTGACACTTTTATATTAATGTACAGCCGAAACTACTGAACTTAGAATCTTGAAACATGCAGGTAGTTTCTTTGTATAGAGTAAATAAGCATCAAGAAACGGAATCAGGAATATCCATCCGCAAGGGGGAAATAGAGGTTTGAAGATTGTATTGAATTTCGTCAGTTTTGAAGTCGTAAACCTGAAGTTTTGGGTAAACGAAAAATATTTTAACTTTTACGTAACTTAATGTGACAAACCAAATTATATGCAGGCGAGGCCGCGGGCAAACACTAGCATTTTATATATTCCAGTTATTTTCTTAATATCTTCAAGAATTGCATTTTCACCTTGATAAATACTTTGATATTCATAGTGATTTGTTTGTATATATGTTTGTGTTTTTATATGTTTTAACTCGTGTGATGTTGATGATTAAAATAATGTTTGACTGACTCATTCTATATCACTTCGTGATCAATGAGGATTTAGTAAATATATTATTAGTATTATATATAATTGGTTAGTAATATCCATTTTTTTAATTTTTCGTCCAAAATCAAATGGATAGCGAAAATTTGTCGTAAATTCATTATTTCAACCTGCCAATATAGTTCATCGCTTTAGAAGGTTCAAAGCCTGATTACCATGATTTTTATATATTTCAAGCGATGATTTACATCAAGAGATCATTCCATAGGTATAACTGCGTTTGCATCGAACATGTTTTTAGATGCTCAACTCTGACTTACTGAAACAAACACCAGAAACATTCATCTTTTTCACGTCTATCTAGTAAAATATCCCGAAATATTATTTTTAGCTGAAGTATTTATATTCCGCACTAAAGACCTAATCTATCATTCAACCCATCAGAAAAATATTCGACCGAGATAGGCCGCTCTAAAACCTGACAGATTAATTGCTGAACTGAAAATTTCACAAATAAACAGGTAGTTCACAGTCTGGTTGAATGAACTCGAACAAAAAAATGGGTACGCCTCATCAGAGGGAACTTCAGGAAGTTTTATTGTTATGCACAATGAGAAGGTGGAAAATAAAAAACGGGTTTATGGACTCCCGAACTGAGCTATAAAACGAGTTATTGGCATTAACTTTGCAACATTTATAAAACTTTATGGCTTCCAACTTGAAATAATGCCATATTTGTAAACGAAATGATCCAAGCCGAGATAACTTGGTCTGGATTTTTTAGGTCTAACGAGAAATGAAAGTAAAGCAATAAAAATGCCTCTCTCCCCATTCCTTGGTTTGAAAAAAACGGAATGTTGATTATAGAAAACAGAAAAACACAGGTTATCTACAGTTCAGCCTTTCGAAGTAGAAATATTATGCGCGCTTGACTTGGAGACTAAGCTAGTGAATGCATGACGAGAGTATTACGAAAAGTGTGATCTGGAGAGGCGAACGGAAGTTGAGAGAGAGTGATAAGTTAGTGGAGATACAAAGACAGCAAGAGAGAGAGTTACGTTTCGAATATTACTGTAGGGTCAAGAGAGAGAGAGGTGCGAGCACACATTTACGGTCAAGTAGTATCTGATGAATAAGGAGGAAACTATCATACTTTGCCACTAATGTGAGCAGGATATTTCAATGTTAATTTCGCGTCCGGAGATGGACAACTCGTGGTAAACTTTCTACAAGATAAATTAGAACTACAAATGAATAATAACCGTAATGAGCCTACCACAAGACTTAGAACAACAATCGATGCAGTTTTCTAGATATGTTTCTAATTATCATTACAAAACACATGTTTCTTATTTCTCATACCATAAGCCAATTGTCTGGGTCTTACAATCTGCCACAGTAATTAGTAATGTATCCGATAATGGAAATAAACAATATATATATTCAAAATTGTTAATTTATCAATGGAAACCCAAAATGAAGTTAAATATTTGTAGAAGATTAATATATTGATACCGATTTCGAATAGGAAAAATTCACTGCTGTGGCACACCATAATATTAAATTGAACTCAAAAAAGTGACGTAATCAGGAGGTGATCTATTCTCAGAACTCAGAACTTTCGCCAGGATTGCACAAAAGAACAGAGTTAGTGCTGATTCCAGCGCTGAAGTCAGACTTTTTGTACTAGCTTTAGTTTTTGAGGTATACAAAAAAAGTTATTCTCAAGAGAAATATTTGAATTATCAACAATCATTAGAAAAACAAGCTTTATTTACTAAAAAACTTTCTTTTATAGGATTTTCTTGCTTGACTTGGTTCACAATGGCTATTTGTAATGCTCCAGCAGTAGTCCGCCATCCAGGTGGACATCCTAGTAACCCTGGTCCTGCTCCTCTACAGTTAGAATATCTTGATGAAACCGTTTCGCCTGTTCTTTACTCAGATCAAAAAGATTTTCTGGAGTATGGTATGAATGCCTGTATAGGAGTTGTATGTAGATTCTCATATTACAACCAAGCTGCTGGAAGTGCGACAATATGTTTTCAACGATGTCTCAGAAAATTCTGTGCAATCCTAACGAATTCGTTCGGGGCATCTTTTTCAAAATCACTCACATAACTGAAAACTTTCATTTCCGATGGTCCACAAATGAGACGGTTGATACCTTCTCATTTGTGGACCGGTTTTTAGTTTCTCTGTGCCTTATATTATGAAACTGTTCAAAGCTGTATTTGAAACAATCACCATTCCTATTTATAGCGTTAACAAATTGTTTTATGAGCCATAGTTTGATATGCAGAGGAGGCAGTATTATGCGATCTCTAGGTATTAGTGGTTCATTAATCACATTCAGTTGCTCGGGAACCATAACTTCCCTGGAAGGCCAGTCTTTTCAAACCCAATGCTGAGACTTAGCTCTGCTGTACCACAGACAAATAAAACAAGGATATTTTGTATGGCCTCCTTGTTTCCGAGCAGAAATTTCATATTTTTAGATCTACACACATGAGCCACTTGTTTTCGTGGTATTTTATTTTCCACATAACATAAGACACGATTGTAAAATTTACTAATCACTCAGGACCCGTCAATATTACTGATAATGTTGTCCTGCCTGTTGAATTCTTTCTGTGTTTGTTTCCAGAAGATTTATTTGATGAAATAACTTTCCAAAGCAATTTATATGCAACTCAGAAATTAGGTGGTGCATCAAATTTTTTGCCAATAACTAAAACTGAAATGAAAGTTTTCATTGGAATTAATATTTTGATGTGAATAAAAAAATAACCATCTATAAAAGGCTACTGGTCGTCAAATATAGAGCCGAGAGATTTTTACATTTCCAGTAAAATATCTAGAAATAGATTTTTCCCAATTTTGAGCACATTACATCTAGCAGACAATATAAATGAAAAGAAAAGAGGAGAGCCAGGCTATGATAAGCTTTTCAAGATTAGACCTCTTCTGAATAAGTTATCGGAAACTTTCAAACCTACTGAGAATCAATCGATCGATGAATCGATGATCCGATTCAAAGGGAGATCTTCCCTCCGTCAGTACATGCCTTTGAAGCCTATAAAACGTGGGTATAAAGTATGGGTTCGGGCCAATGAGTCTGGATATATATCACAATTAGAGATATATACGGGTAAAATTGGAGACAAATCTGAGAAAGACTTAGGAAAGCGAGTTGTCATGAATTTATCTGAATGCTTGAAAGACAGTTACGCAAAATTATATTTTGATAATTATTTTACTTCTTTATCACTCATGAGTGAATTGAAAAAATCTAATATTTAAGGATGTGGTACAGTTCGTAAGGATAGGAAAGGATTACCTAGTGAATTTCTAGCAGATAAAAGCACTGACTAGAGGACAATTTGACTGGAGAAGCAACAACAAAAATGTGGAAAGATAAGGAAGCAATACATTTTCTTAGTAATTTCCACAATCCACAAGATATTACAACGGTGAATCGCAGGCAAAGAGATGGAACTCTTAAAGAAGTGATTTGTCCACTGTTGGTGAAGGATTATAATAAGCATATGGGATATGTAGATAAAACAGATATGTTCAAATCCTGTTACGAAATAAGCAGAAAAAGCAAACGATGGTACATGCGCATTTTTTGGCATTTTGTAGGCAAAAGGCATGTTCCAGTCAAGACGAGATTGACCTCAGCCCAGCACATGCCGATTCATGGAAAGTCACGCCACTGTGCACATTGCAGCTGAAAAAAAGAACCACATAGAAGCCGATGGCAATGTTCTACTTGACGTAGGACTTTGCATAAATGACAAAAAAAACTGCTTCGTTTCGTTCCATTAGATGTGACCCAGTGGTTTCAAAGTGAAACCACCCTACTTTTGGAAAAACTATTTTTTGGAAAAATAAAATTTATTGAGTTTGTTTCATGATCTACTATAATGGAAGTTTTCAATAAATGTTAAAAACTATAAGCTTTAATAATTTTTGAATAGAGAAAAATAAATTGGAATTTGATGTTTCTTGTCTACCTGTTCGAACGGTACTCTTTACAGTCGTAATGGTCTGTGAGGGTATTGGTAAAAAAGTGATAATAATAAATTGGTCTAAGCACTAGCCCTTGTTTTTTTAGGTGGCTCATATATCACCATTATCACCAGTTTCCAGTAGGATCAAACCAGTACCAAGTGAGCTGGACTGAGGAACCCAAAACAGCACGAAAAGGTGAACGCTTGTTGGGACTATTTAATGAAGATGGTCACACTACATACCGGAAAGAAATTCCAGCAAAAGAAGATGTTTCAGCCGTACCTGCTCTAATCACTGTTGTTGTGAACTATCCAGGAGCGTTCATTGGCCCATGGTTGAAGTCTGAAGTCATCACCACGATTCTATCCCTTGTTATTGCTTATTTTGCTCTAGTATCAAGATCCAAAGTTGTTTCATGAATTTCTTAACTAGACTACATAGTTATAATAGTTATTTTTCAGGAGATATTTATATCATATAACTTCAAAATTGACACATTTCATTTTCCTAAGTTTTTGTATAAATAAAAACCCCAGTTGATTATAACAGTAAAAGAATTATCACACTTCGTCAATTATAAATATGGCTTCTAATCAAAGCAAGCCCGTAAACAAAACACTAAAACTAATTAAAGCCGTAAGTAAATACCAGTGGTGATTAGCGATGTTGTTGATTGAAAGCGTTATTAGGGCATATGCTTGTTAGTATGCGGATTGAAATTTGTATTTGATCTAGGTTATATTAGGATTTGTTCAAACATACTGGTCGATGTGATTAGTATCTGATGTATAAATGATGAACCACATTGCTTTAGTTCGGTAAATAGCCAGCATCAAATGGATACTCATTTTGAGTGATAAATTACCACAAAGGTTATTTCATTCACCAAAATAATTGAAATTCCAGAAACGTTGAAATTATAGGTATGATAAATAATTAGGAAATAACTATTTATTTATTCATCAGCGAAATCTAGCAAGGTAGAATACTTTTTTCATTTTTTGAATCGGCACCTCGAAGTCAATAACTTAGAATTTAGGAAAGTTATCGCAGTTCATAGGTATGTGGTGAAAATTGAATAGTAAAAATAAATTCAAAAAAAAAAACAAGATTTCACTACCGGCTTTGAAAAGAACAAAATGAACGATGAATTAAATAAAACATACGTTACACAACTAACTATTTAAATAAAAACATCAAAAAAATGTATTTATGAACAACATTTTTTTCAAAGAAACTCTTTCAAACACAGAAGATGATGATATCAAATCAATTTGTCTTGGATGAAAGAAATCCCGAAACATTCTAACACTACAAAGCGAGAATGTTATTTACGACAGAAAGTTTGGTTAGTTTGTGAAATGTTAAGATTATAAAAATGGTTTTTGTAGAATTGAAAACATTAGATATTATAGAAATCACAGAAATACCTTCGCCAGAAATCATTATTACAACTGAAATTAGACCAATATATGTCGCATCAACAGAAGATAACACAGTGAATCATTCAAATGAAAAGGGTTCTAGTTTATTGAAGTTGATTCCTTCATTATTAATGAAAATAGGATTGATAAGATTTAAAAAAATAACAGTTAATGGGAAAGGAATACTTTGCCTTTCTACTTCTCCATACAAAAAATGTGGGTATCTTCCNAAAATTTGATTAGCCTTGTCTTAAGTGAATGTTCGAATAGTTTTGCAAAATTATTAATAACAGAGATGGGCCGATAATTAGTCAATATATTACGTTTCCCAGCTTTAAATACTGGGGTGACTACGGATTCTTTCCATTGTTCAGGCATTTTTCCATTGAGGAAGCAGAGATTTATAATGTGTTTCAGTGGAGTAAGGATATGTTTGTGGATAGCTTTTATAACTTTGGTATCAATTCCATCCGGCCCTGGGGAGCAATTATTTTTCAATTTTGAGATGAAAGTTATTAGTTCCGAGGCTGTTATGGGTTCTAGGAATAATGATGATTGTATAGACTTGTCATTAAGAAAATGCGGGGGTAAGTTAATTTTTTCAATATTACTTGCCATTTTCGACCCTAAACTAGAGAAGAACTCATTAAACACATTTGCTTTTTCGTTATCATCATTTATTGAGAGTCCGTTTTCATTAAGAACGTCAGTTTGAGACACGTTTAAATTTTTTTTAGCACCTGAGATATCATTGATTAAAGCCCAAGTTTTCCTACAGTTCCCGGCTGCCTCACTTAACTTTCCTTGATAAAAATCATTTTTACTTTTTTTTATTAGTGCGTTGAGATTATTCCGGTATCGTTTATATTTCTGTTCAAGTTCAATAGAATAGTTGTTCAGTAGTTGTTTTTTTAATAAGTCCCTTTTATGTACTGAAGTAATTAGACCTAAGGAAATCCAAGGTTTTATTTTCCGAAATTTATTTTTTACAGTTTTCAGTTTAGTCGATTTCGTAATAAATTCATTGAGTTTTTGAATGAAGTGATCGTAAGATGTTTGAGGATCTTGATTTCTTACCACATTTATCCATTGCTCGTTGCTAGTCAATTTCTCGAGTTTTTCAAGATTTATTTGTTTTACTATTATTTCTTTTCTAGATGTTGAAGGATTCGGATTTTTTCCTGAAAATTTTATGAACATGGAATTATACAAACAACATTTTCTCATATTCAGTTTGTACTCCCAACATTCGTAATGGAATTGAATCAGATATTATTCCCAAAATTTCTACACAATACAGTATACGAAAGAAGTAAAATTTCACTTACATGAAACACTGTTATCCTCACCCAATTCACTGATAGAATTACGACTTTATGTCACAAAAGTATTAAATCTACTCATGTCATCGATGACAGTATGTAATGACATTCATTTGCACATTTGATTCAATCCCAGCCATAGGAATTTTGTTTGGATTGAAAGAGTTATATTCTTAGGAGAGTTTTGTTCCTATAAAGATGGAGAGGTCGAAAGCAAAAACCTTTCTTTCCCAAAAAGTTATTATCTCCGATTCAATTAAAAAAATAACAAGTTTTGAATATAATTTAACCAGTAAAAGGTTCTTAGAAATGATCNTGATACGTTTCAGAAAGGAAATGACAAATCAATAAGGGGGTGTGATCCAGTAAAACCAGGTAGGGAGCAATTTGTTCTCTTCAACACGTGCCGAAATTCTCCAGCTGCATTTCTGTCGCCCTCTGTCGAAGCAGAGGCGGCTCGTATTTCAAACACGGGGACCGCTATTGCTATATCGTGATCCCGTTTCGGAATAGTCTGTTAGATTAGCCAGATGGAATATGACTATAATCTGAGATTATCGGTGATCCAATCTCGAGTAGCGCAAACCCTTCGAAGCGATGAAATATTGACCAACTCGCAACAATACTAATTGTTCTGGGACTTGAAACATGAATTATGATTTAAAAGGACAAATGCATATAGCAAATTGGAGTCCCCCGCAGTGTATGTCTGTCTAAACGCAGCAAACTTAAAAACCACCGAAAGAATTGTAGAGTTTTTCCTACAACTATTCAGTTTCCAAACATTTTAGTTCTTTATTGATTTTTATTTTGTATTATAACTTGTATTATAACATAACTGCATTATCGAGCAGTCGTCCAAAATTACAACTGCTTGGGTCTTTTGAAATGCTCTCTTCTCTCGAAACGAAAGTTCATTGCCGAAAAACAGATGAATATTTAGAACGACAGACACAACTTGGGATGTTTCGAGTAGGTAGGTACACATTGTTACCAGATTTATGGATTGAGACAAGGAATTCGAGCAAAAGTGGTTGACCTTTCTTGACTATATTTATGACCCCGACCATGGTACTGAAATATATAGAATTACAACCTTGAGAGAAATGTTTTTGTTTCAATGTAATATTTTGATAATTTAGTGCCTACTACCATGAAATTGTAGTATAGAAAAAAAATAGACCTGGGAATGTAAACGGGTAGAACTTAACAAAGAGACCATGTGTAAACAGAACTGTTTCAACAAAGGAGTAGTCAGTTGTGAATAAAAATCGAGCTACTCATTGAATATTGTCAATTTAGAAGACACCTGAGAAAATAAGGTAGTATTATGGAGACTTCAGCTGCAGACAGTGCTTGTCATATATTATGCAAATGTGAGGAACAGTACAGATTGTAGAAAGGTAGCAGGCGAAATGCAAAGAGCCCCCAAACCAGCAATATTTTCCTGAGACTTAAAAAGACACGATGAGTCGGACCCCTCCAAAGTATCAAAAAAGCTGGGCCTTCCTGAAAATATATCCTAGAGAAGGGGTCGACAAGTAGTTTTAGGTGGGGTTCGGATACTGTGGGAAAATTTCAATGAGGTCCAGAAAAAAAACAACTGATAATAATGAGGTGCTACCTATTATTATTTTGATTTCAAATCAAATTCTGAATTATAGAACACAAGACCTGAAATTAATGTGAGAAACTACACCGACTGTCTTGAGCCAGTTTGGTTCTTGAGAGGAACAGCAAATTCGAAGTGAGGTTTCTATTGGGCGACCGTTAATCTCGATCGATATTTATTTTTCAAGAAATTCAACTTTGACAAAGACGTTTCACATACGTATGTCGAACCAAACAAAGTGGCCTAATATATAGCTAGTTTCTTATAATTCTAGTTTGATCCAAAATTCTCATTATGATACCATTTCATACATTTGCAAAGACACATCTTCTTGAAAATCGATTGTCTCTATTTGAAGTGATGGCTTTGACAAATTGAACAACTTGGCAGCTACATCAGTCCATTCTGCCGCTACATCGTTCCGAAGATCGGCCAGATTCTCAATAAATGAACAATGTCTCCTCAAGACTTTTTTTAAAATTCAAGAATTGTCGAAAAAGTAATAAATTCTTTTTCTACGATATCCAGCTTGCGACGAAAAGCAAAGTAACAAAGCAAAGCAAAGTATCAGATCACATATTGATTTAACATTCAAATATTTCTAAATATCTTTTAAGATAGCCACAACCAGCATGTTGAGCTCGTTTGTTATGAACTCAAAGGACTTTCTGCGTATCTAAGTTTTGCATGAATGAAGTTACTTGTTCTATAATTATCCAGGCTAGATGGGAAACTAATCAAACCATATAAGTTGTAGGTACTTGTAAAACAGGTTAGGCAGGAGTCTCAAATTGAAATAAGTACTAGATAGGTAGTTGTGACTTCCAATGTCAACCAACAGTCTGTTGCACTCTGCATTGAATTGATTCGTGCAATTGGCAATGTGCACAAGTCTGTATGCAGTCCATCTAGCTTCTCCCCCCAGAAAAATGTGGAGAGGAGATAGATCTAGAAGGATCCCCATGGCAGCTGACGGTGTGGTACTCATGGTACCACTGATAGCCAGACAAGCCTTTTTATATCAACCAGAGAGCTTCGCTTGGGCCGTTTTCTGTAAAGCC